GGAGTGATACACTTTCTCCAACAAGGCCACACCTCCTAATTCTTGCTAAACAGTCCACCAACTGGGAACCAAACATTCAAATAGAGGCCATTCTCATTCAAACCACCACAGACCCTGCTTTTAATAAATAAGGCTGAGAGCCAATTGAGGAAGACACCCAATTTCAGGCCTGGCCTCCACACACACATGCACACTCATGCACAGGTGTGTGTGTGCACACACACATAAGCACAGATAGATAGATAGATAGATAGATAGATAGATAGATAGATAGATAGATGCATATATTACCACAAATTTATATATACACATATATGTACATATATGTACATACACACATCAGCATATGGATAAACACCCAGCAGGAAAAGAAAAGTTGAAGACATTTATGGCGTATTCATACAGTGTACCCTTACACTGTAATTATGATAGTATTCTTGAAAACTGACAACAAAAAGATATTTAAGGAAAGTAGAACAGACACTTGATGTACTGTAATGAGCCACCTTTGCTTTTTTTTACAATGCCTCCGGATGAGTGTTACAAGTTCACGTCTTCAGGAAGCTGGTGTGGGTATGGAAGAGAAATACAAAATGAGTGTTGAGGTCTGTGGTAAACCACAGCACACGTTTCTACCTCAAGTACTTTACTCAACTTCCAGACTCTGAGCCACAGTGCTACTACAGGGTGGAGATAACCTGGGGGTTTTGAGTTTGTAGCTCACCTCTGAAGTCCAGCACCTGAGTTACGTCCACCGGGCTTTTGGTTATGGGAGCCTTGGACCATTTCATCTTCTATAGTTCCTGAATTTTCTCCAATGGTCATGGACCACATTTATAACCAAAAATGGGGGTGGGGTGAGAAAAGTATATTGCTAGAATTCAGGGCAGCACTGGTGATGCTCACAGGGAAGTTTAAGAGCAAAGGCAGAGTCCTAGGCCAGACAGACACTTCCTCCGGTCTCACTTCAATGAGCCTACACCTTCTGGAGGCAGCAGGACACTCAGTCCACAGCTGGGGCCAAGGCAGGGCCTCAGAGAAGCATCCAGCAGCTAGAAGGCTGAGGCCCCCGCTATGAATCGCACATCCCTGTCATACTCAGCCCACAGCTAATGAAGTGTGCTCCCTCTTTGATGTATACAGATACACACACACACACACACACACACACACACACACACACACACACACGGGTGAGAATAGCATAAATATAGAATGGCACACCTTTAGGGAAAATGCACACATATGCACACACATGCACACGCTTACTGCAGCTCTGGTTGAATATCAAAGATGAAGGAAATTGTGGTGACAAGCAGGAATTGTCTGTTGAAGCCTCAGAACCTTCAGCGCAGCACATAGCTGAGACTTCTGCCCCAGGGACCTGTGTCACACCATGACAGCTCAGCAGCTTCCATGAAATGATCTCAGGATTCCTGTGAGTTTCCAGCCACCCAGCTGATTCTCTGATCTCCCCCCTCCGAAGGCTGAGCTAAATCGTCTCTTTGCTCCGGGGCCTCTCCTTGTCATCTCACAGAAGATGGGCATGTTCAGAGAGAGGCAGCGGCTTGGGGACAGCATTGTTTGCTAATTTTGGAGGTCCTTCTCAAATTCAAAATATGAAGTGATCAATCAGATCCTACACTTCGACTTTGCATCACTTTTCTTCTTTAAGAAACAGGTGCCAGCACTTGGGAGGCAAAGGCAGGCGGGTCTCTGTGAGTTCAAGACCAGCCTGGTCTACAAGAGTTAGTTCCAGGACAGTCCCGAAAGCTACATTGAAGATTATTGTGTGCAGCGTGCGCTCAAAGATTAATTAGTCCGTGATGGTAAGATTTCTTTATTCAAGAAAGCACCAGGGCAAAACACAGGCCAGAGCGAGGTCACAGGAACCCAGCTAGCGCGGCCAGAAAGAAGGGGCCAGGGTCTCCACGTGCAGCCCTTAAGAAGCTTTCCTTCACCACACCCTTATGGGCTAGTCCCAGGTTCACCTGGCACCTGTCCCAGGACTATTGGGCGGGGCTAGGTGTCTCCCTACACTACATAGAGTAACCCTGTCTTGAAACCCCCCAAAAAAATAAATAAAGAAGAGAAAGAAAGAAAGGAAAGGAAAGAAAAGAAGAAAAGAAAAGAAAAAGGTGTGGGGTGTGTCCATTGGAAAGTGTCTTGCAATTATTCTGAATTCAATCCCAAGAACATGTGTGGTGTGGTGGGGGTTGTAGTACATACTTTTAATCCCATGGCTGGGATAGACAGATCCCTAGAGCTCACCTAACCTACCTGGTGAACTTCAGGCCAAGTGAGAGACTCTGCCCCAAAAAAAAGAAAAGAAAGAAAGTATGGACAGCATATAAAGTTGTCCTCTGGCCTCCATTTGAGTGTTTATGCGCAGGCACGCACGTGCGTGTGCACACATACACACACACACACACACACACACACATGCCAGAATTCAGTTGGCTGTATCATAGATGGCATTAGTTCCCCAAACATGGATCAGCCCAGTGCCCAGCAGATTGGGCCTCCAAGCTCTGCTTCTGTTCAAACATAGCCAAATGCTCAAAGTGTCCTTGAATTGTTGACACATCTCTTGCTGGGGTTTATAAACCCCACGAGGGGCCCAGTAGGACAGTTTAACCGATTTCTGGAAGAGCTGATGAGTAAAGATTCTCACTGTGTCGCTGAGTGTCCCAGGCAGCTAACAATAAAAGAAGCTTACAGAGTATCAGGACATTTGAGAGGCGAGCTGTGGCTCCCCTGCAAGGCACCTCAATTAAAGGCAGTATTGACTTGGCCTCAGCCAAGCTGGCTGCTCAGCGGACTTGCATTTCCCCCAGCAGAACTGCTATCAAGAACCTTTGGGACCCCAGGGCATCCTGTCAACTCAACAGGGAAACAAAGGGTTAAGAAGAGTAGAGCACCATCAGATCTGCAGAAGAGCAGAGAGGGAGGTGGGCTCAGGGTTAGCCATGTCTGCGGGGAGTAAGAAGAAGTGGAATCATAGAGGCACTTTCAATTTTTTACCTCCATGGGGTGAAAAACCCTCAGCCACATGTGTGCATCCCAATAGGTCTCATTGGTCCTTGTTTCCTGTGAGGAATTTGCAAAGCCCAGGGAAGGTTTTTAGGGCATTGCCCAGGATAGTGGCAAGGAACGCAAGCCCTAGCCACAGACAGGACCACCTCCTCAGCCCCACAAAGTTAAGTATGCCTAAGTCATCTAACCTATAGAAACCGACTCACTGGACACTTTCCCAGTCCCTTCTCTCTCCATCTGCTCACACCTTGGAATCCAGAGGCAGGGATTCTGTGGCAGCCAGATGTTATAGAAGCCAATGGCAAAGTAGAGATAATAATTTCTTGGGAGATGTATAACTTTTCTCTACACTAAACAGTGAACTTGGTCACAATCATCATGTACCTAGACAAAATGAAACTGTACTTTCTTTGAGTTTTTCAAAAGCTGTATGTGAAATGGGAATGTCATTTATGGGATCAGTTTGGGTGAGAAAGGACCAGTGGGGCTTATGTAAGTCACTCCCACACTACTGGTTTTCCTTTTTGATAAATACAAGAGAAGGTTAGCTGCCCTGGCTGAGCTGGCCTGAAGCTGGGCCAGTCTTCCTGAAGATCCTTCAGAAAAAAATCTGTGGCTTCATGGTTACCCTTTCTTCTGAACCACATTCTGAGTGCCACAAATGTGAACCCACGCACATGATCTCAGGTGTGACTGCCACAAATGTAACCCCCACACAGGCAAACTCACAGGTGTGAATGCCACAGATGTGAACCCAAACATGTGAAGTCACAGGTGTGAGTGCCGAATGTGTGAGCCTCTGAAAGGAGAACCCAAAGGCAGTAAAGAAAAACTCACCATGAGGTTTTCCTCCCAGGCTTCTGGTGCCTCCTGCCCTTTGGCTGCTCTCTCTGGGGATTTACCTGGTATCACTGCCTTTAGTAGACTCTCATGCTTGGCAGAGAGGGGCTTGCTTTCTCCTGTGGGTACCTTTAATAGAATTTGTCTCTTCCCAACACAGATCCAATTGCCCAACCAGAAAGCCTGATGTGTGCAAATGAGACTAAGCTGAAGAGGCCAGCTCGGGAGAGGAGAAACTTAGCCTCATCCTCAGAGCTCATGAGAACAGCTGGGAAGCCCCTTGAGAGACAGAGAAAAGGAGACCCAAGTGTTCGTCCCCAGAATGAGCCCCACGCTGCCCTCTCGCAGGCCTTCCAGCCAACGAACGGTCCTCAAGTGCTGAGTGAGACTCTGGGGCCTCCACTCCTACCCTCCACTGTGGTAGGACCAAGAAGGACACCATTTAGGTTCCACGATGAAGATTTTTACTCTGCGCTGTCATTAAACAGTGAACAAGAAAACTATGACACGGAAGAGGAAACCCGCATGGAAGAGGAGCTTCTGCTGGTTGGAATGCGTTCTCCTCCCAGACATAAGAGAAGCCGATTTCTTGGGACACCAGCCACTCCAAATAGAAATGTTGAGGAAAACGCTGAAAATCTCCGAGGAAGTTTTGTAAGATGGAGTGAGGCCAACCCTGGATCTCCAGGAAAAAGCAGCGCCACAGAGCCAGCATCAAAGCAGCCTTCTGCTGAGCAAAGGACACTTGAGGATAGCAGGCTACGTGGGGAGTTGGCTAAAGAGAACCCCAGTGGAGACCAAGAAGGTGAGAAGACTGCTCTTTCGGGGGACGCCACATCTAACAATGTCATCCGAGACCGTGCCGAAGATGGATCCAGTGACTGTCCTATGGAAGTCAGGCCTGAAGCTCATCATCATGAGAGAGACTGGCAAAGTTACCTACGTGGTTCTAGGAATTCATTTGACTGCTTACTTTCTGGGAGACCCTTAGCTCCAAGATCATCAATGAGTACGCCTTTTAGCACTCATGGGTCACTGCTGCATTCTGCTCTGATAGATGACATTCCAGCAAGCTTGTCCATGTCATCTATTCTAGTCCCTAGTTCAGACATGGAGGAAAACCTAAGGTTCAATGTACGCCGGCCACTCTCACCGATCAGAAATAGGAATCCGCTGGCTACTGCACAAAACCACACTGATGACATCCCAGGAGAAGAGACGATGGCTTCAACTCCGAGCCAAGCTCGGGAGTCTCCACTGTTGGCCGAAGATCGTTCAAATCCTCAAAGCAGTGAGACCTTGAGGAATTCTCCCAGCTCTTCTACAAGGCGACATTTACAAGGCCATTTCTACATGCCTGGGTCCCTGCCAGAAAGCATACCTTTTACTTTCTTTGCAGTGTCTGATTTTCCAAATCAAAATGTTCACGAGGACAGTGTCACTGATGAAAAGGGGGCCACAGAAATAAAGGCAGACCCTGAGAAACTGAGGAAATTGCAAGAAAGGTAAGGACTTATAACCACACACTTCCTATCTCACCCCCAACTCTGAGCTGAGATAACCTTTGCTTTCATTAGAGGAATGTGGGAACTTTACATCAGAGACTTGTTCTTCCTTGACATGTTAATGAGATGGCTCATTTGGAGAAAATTGTCCCATTTGATTACCCTTAAAAGATGTATATGTACAAAGAGGAATTTGGCAATCCTACTCAGTTTTATCCGTATATCCTCCAAAGTATCTTTTTCCTTGCATTCTAGAAGAAGGACACCCGGGTGATGGCAACTTCATGCCATTAATCCTAGCACCCAGGTGGCAGAGGCAGGTGGATCTCTGTGAGTTCAAGGCTAGCCTGGTCTCCAGAGTAAAGTCTGACAGCCAGGACTGTTACACAGAAACCCTGTCTCAAAGAGACAGAGAGAGAGAAGGGGGGAAAGAGGAGAGAGAGAAGAGAGAGGAGAGGGAGGAGAGAGAGAAGAGAGACAGAGGAGAGAGAGAAGAGGAAAAAAGAAAAAAAGAAGAGAAAAAGAAAGGAAAAAAGAAGAAGGGCAAGTTCAGGCCACACGGCACCATAGACAGCCCTAGAGCTGAGTTCATCCCCAGTTCCCCATAGTGGAAGGAGAGAACTTACTCTGCCAAATTGCCCTCCGACCTCCACATTTACACTGTTACACACACACACAGAGGCACAGAGTAAATGTTTTTTGTGTTTTTAAGAAATATAAGGGAAAAAATAGAAGGGCAAATTTCCAGGGACACAAGGACACCTGGTAACACAGGGTTCTCTCTGCTTCTCTTCTCCCTGCCAATTAGCTAGGACTTTTTTTTTTTTTTTTTTTTTTAGAAAAGGTTGCTAACTCCCCAGAGAAGGAACCATTCAGCTCTTGAAGTTCACAGCTCTCCCTCCTGAGACTACTGCAAATCCAACCAATAGTTCTAGAATTTAAACCTTCCAAACCAAAAGACTGTTCCCAAACAGTTACCATAGTTACCCCAGTTCTCTGAAGGGTGGGGCTGCCTCCATTTTAAGTGTGTTCGCTCTCTCTCTCTCTCTCTCTCTCTCTCTCTCTCTCTCTTTCTCTCTCTCTATTGCATGAGAAAAAAAAAAGATCTTTTTTTGAGTTGCCCTTTTCTTTTATCTTTCGTTTCTCCTGAGGTAAGTTTGGGATATTTCACAGCTATGAAACTGCATACTTTTTAAAGCCTTCATTAAACACTGTCAGAATTCTGCCATCTCTTTTATGATAGGTGTTTACTGGGCCCAAATCTTGGCTTAAGGATCTGGAAATTGATTCCTGGAACATGAGCCCTCTTTGGACACGTTGGTATGGCTCCTCCAGGCCATTAATTACCCTATCGATGTCTATTTGCAAGCAGGAAAATTTCACCACAATGAATTAAGAATGGAAAAAGAGTGCTGGGCTTTGGTGGCACATGCCTTTAATCCCAGCATTTAAGAGGCAGAGGCAGGCAGATCTATGTGAGTTCAAGGCCAGCCCGGTCTACAGAGGGAGTTCCAAGATAGCCTCCAAAACAATACAGAGAAGCCCCGTCTCGAAAAAAAAAAAAAAATTGGAAAAAGAAGAGGAAAATAAAACAGATTGTATATACTCCTCTTCAGAAAGAAAAGCTTGCTTTTCTTTGTTTCATATGTATGTATGCACACATGTGTGCATGCATGCCTGTGTGTGAACATGTGTGTTGTAGGGAGACACCCTAGCCCCACCCAATAGTCCTGGGACAGGTACCAGGTGGACCCGGAACTCGCCCATAAGGGTGTGGTGAAGGAAAGCCGGGGTGACGTAAGGGAGCTTCTTAAGGGCGGCACGTGGGGACCCTATCTCTTTCTGGCCGCCCTTGCTGGGTTCTTGTAACCTTGCTCTGGCCTGCGTTTTGCCCTGGTGTTTTCTTAAATAAAGAGACTTTACTATCACGGATTACAGTTCATCTTTTGGCGCACGCTCCAACCTTTATTCATCAGTGTGTGCCATGTGTTCGTATCCTATATGTGTGTGCACTCGTGTGCCTGCCTCTGTGTGTGACCATGTAAAGGCCTGCACTTGACATCAGGTGTCTTCTTCAGTTGTCCACTTTATTTGTTGAGGCAGGTTCTCTCACTAAATCAGAGCCCTCCAGTTCCTGCTAATCTAGCTACCACAACTTTCCCCCAAAGTCCCCATCTCTGCCTCTCAAGTGCTGGGATTGCAGGGGGCTCCATACCTACTCTGCTAAGTAAGAGTTTCTAGCTGTCGGTTTCTTTTCTTTTCATAGTAACACAAGCTACAAGAAGATGATCCATGGTTAAGGCCAAGAGACCTCACACTCACCCATCTTTACCAACCCTGACAACTTCAGACTTACTTGTCAGATGTCTGGACTCCAACCATCCCAACATAATGTCTTTAGATTCAAAACAGTTTTTTTTTTTTTTTTTTAAATGCAAGTGCTTGTAGACATGGACCTCTGCATTAAACAGCTGACATCACGGAGTGTTTGTTTTCTCAAGTGCTCTTTCTTTCTGTATATAAAAGATCTTAATATTTATCTTTTCAAAAATGTCCATTTTAGGAAATGTTTGTAAATGAAGATTTGTTTGTTTTTTATTTTGAGATAGCATCTGGATACGCAGTCCTGGCTGGCCTGAAACTCATTCTGTAGATCAGGCTGACGGCAAACTCATAAACTATCTGTTTGCCTCTGCCTCCCAAATGCTGGGCATTTGTGGGGATCTTCCTCCCTACACTAAGTAGTTGTCCTTCTGGTGTAGACTGGCAGATTGTCCCAGCTCCACAGATGCTAAGCACACCCAGTGGTGTGACGGGTCTCTTCTGTCCTCTTAGTCTTGTCTGTCTTTCCCTAACCTGGTGTTATAACATCCTAATGTCTGCAGCATTTGGAGGCTGTGATAAAGGACAGTGGACAGCCACCCCTCGGGTTCTGTAGAGTCCTTGACTGCACACGTGAGGGTCTGCTTGCTGGGGCTCTTTGATTGGAATACACGGAATCTGTGTGCTGTCTCAGCAATGCTGATGTGCTGAAACACTGGCTCTTGGTTTGCTCGGCATCTCTCTCCTCTGCGTCTTTATGCAGTCTGTCCTTTTCTGTACAAAAGCCCTTCGATTCATCTCTAGTTCTTTTGTTTGCTATTGTTTGCTATTGAAATGATATTTTCAATTCTAACTCTTTGTGCCTCATGTATAGAAATGCAATTGACTATAATTTTTATTTTCTCAGTGTTTTGTTAAACTCTCTTACTGTGTCCAGTACTTTGTAGATTGTTTTGGTTTTCTGTATAGAAAATAATTTAGACTAGGAACAACATTTTCATTCCTCTCCTTTCAAACCCTATGTTTTTAATGCTGTTTTAAATCTTACAGTATTGTATCAATTTTTAAAGGGTGGCTGGTTTTATATTAAATGTTTATTGCCTTTTGATGAATCTCCTTTCAGAGCATAACCCCACTTGCTTTACCTATAATAGTGTCTAGAAACACACACCTCTTGATCAAAGGGAACACACATGCCTAAGATTTATAATGTGCATTATAAAATCACTTTTTGAGAAAGTTCTAGGTGCTGGGGAGACAGCTTAGTTGGTGGAGTGCTTGCTGTGGTCTTGTGAGGGCCTGAGGTTGGATGCCTAGCATCCACGTAAAAATCCATGCTGAGACAGGAGACTCCCTGGGACCTGCTGGCCAGCCAGTCTAGCCAATCGGTGAGCTCCACGTTCAGTGAGAGATCCTGCCTTAAAAATTAAAGTGGGATAGCACAGCATGGCAGCACATGTATCTAATCCCAGCACTCAGGAGGTAGACACAGGCCAATCTCTGTGAGTGTGTTAACACCCAACTGGTTTATGTAGCAAGTTCCAGGCCAGCCAAGATACACAGTGAGACCCTGTCTGGGGGGCGGGGGGAGCAATAGAAGAAGACACCCAACATCAACCTCTGGCCTCCACATGCACACATGTGCTGCATGCCCACTTGTACACACACACACACACACACACACACACACACACACACACACACACAATCAAACCCTGGGATATCTACAGGACTTGCATTTGCTACCTTACCACACAAAGACCACCCAAATGTTCATAATTATTTTCTTCTAGTATTTTTATATTCTTATTTTATATAGCATAGTGCAACAGTTCTCAACCTGGGGGTCACAACCCCTTTAGGGTTGTATATCAGATATTTATATTAAGATTCATAACAGTAGCAAATTACAGTTATGAAGTAGCAATGAAATAATTTTATGGTTGGGAAGTCAACACAACATGAGGAACTGTATTAGGGTTCTAAGTGTTAGGGAGGTTGAAAGGTTGGCATAGAGATTGACATTGTTTTTTTTTTTCTTTTTCTTTTTCTTTTTCTTTTTCTTTTTTTCTAGTTTGCATTTGCAAACATAACTCTAAAGCTTTGGAGGCAAACTTTGAACCCAGGAGCTCTGACTATGACTCCTGTGAGTTTACCAGCTTACATAGCCAGCTTCCTCAGGGTGACTAAGGCAGAGAGAAGGGCTCTCTTGGCCTAATCCCTCACCCCCACCACCACCATTTTGTACGGATGGGAATTGGAGCCATGACCTCCCACGTGCTAGACAGACACTTGACCACCGAGTTACATGCCCCGTCTTGCTACCCATTTCTTGATTGGTCCCTCCCACAGAGCTCACACTTATCAGGGACTGCACAGGAGCCTAATATATGAAAGTGTGCATCAATGATCAGTAACTCCATCTGGAGAAGCCCTCGCTGGGTTAGAACCCCGGCAGACAGGCATATTCCTTCCCCCTTCTCCCATGAGTACCTTGGGAAACGGCATTTATAGCAACAACAAATGTGGGGACTCCTGGTCACGAGGCTTGTTTTCTGTTTAGTCTCCTGGAGGAGGACTCCGAGGAGGAGGGAGACTTGTGTCGCATCTGTCAGATAGCCGGGGGTTCCCCAACCAACCCGCTCCTGGAGCCTTGTGGCTGTGTGGGAAGCCTGCAGTTCGTTCACCAAGAGTGCCTGAAAAAGTGGCTGAAAGTGAAAATAACATCAGGTAGGTGGGGAAGGAAGCGAGGCAAGCGTGCTGCGGCATATAATTTATCCGAGATGCCAGTGTGGGCCTGGGAGCCTTGTCAGCTGCTTGCTGTCAGGGAAATCCGGCCAAGCCCAGGATTCTTGTTTCTAAATGCTGTGATGGGAGGGTAAATGGATATGGTGTGTGTGTGTGTGTGTGTGTTTAAATCTGAGAGAATCTTGGAAACAAATTCTCCTCCCACTTGAGGCCTGGTGGACAAGATGATAAACTCACCTCCAAGGAGGAAAGAAGAGGACGTGGGTGGCCAGTAGACCCTCAGCAAGCATACTGTAGCCCTGTCCAGTTAGTAGCACGAAAGACCCCCCCCCATACACATACAAACACACACAGAAGTCTACTTCATTTGGAGGAGGGGGCTGGGGAGGTGACTCGGTGGCTAAGAGCACTTGTTACTCTTCCGGAGAACCCAAGTTCATTTCCTAACACCCACCTCAGGCAGCTAATAACCACCTGTAACTCCAGCTCCGGGGGGATCTGGCGCCCCCTTCTGGCCTCTGTAGTTACTCACACGTGTGTGCATACACATCCTCATAAATAAAATCTCTTTTTAAAAGAGCTCAAGCAAAGCTGCCTGTTTGCCAGAGGGGTCAGTAGAGTGTCATTCTGATTTTCTAGATCTATGCTAAAGGGCCTTGCATGTGGCAGTTTTGTCAGACTGATCTCAGAGCTGGGTGTGAAGCCCCCTCTCAATTCTCCCAGGAAGTGACAACCTAAATACAGACCCATGGGAGGTAAAGATGCCTTGCACAAGATGAGGGAGGAGCTAGACTACCTAGGCTGGGGGGCGTTACCTGAAAGGGGCTCCATCTCAGTGGTCAGGTAGAAAATGGCCGCCGTGTCTTGCAGACTACCCTCCCTGGAATTGGTACTCCTCACCAGATCCTGGTCTCCCCTCTTCCACATCCTTGTCTCTGGCTAAGTTTCAGATCTAGAGCTTCATTCTTCCCCCACGGGTTATGGCCGTATGCCCTCACCATGTAATCAGGGTAATCATATTAACCGGCACTCTGTTTCTATGGGTGGATTTTTCCCTCCTGAAAGAAATACAGAATCAATCCCCAAACCCTTAAATCAGTATCTACAAGCAAAGAACTCAATACAAATGGGGGAGGGGGGTGTTTGGGAGACTGACTGCTGATGGATGACTCTGCCTTCGCTGTGGCTACTCCTTCCCTGGAGAGATGTAAACAAGGTCTGCTTCTCCATAAGGTCCCGATGACAAACCAAAGTATGAGTCCACCACCGTTTAACCTGGAGAACCAATGGGTTCATTGTGCTTACTCACAGAGTGTAAATGAGGGGTTATTGGCAGAATCGTGGGTGGCCCCAAAGCAGCTGCACCGGCAAGTCTTCACCCATAGCCACATCAGTGGAACCCTTCTTCAAGTCACTTCCCCCAACCTGTATACTCTAGGACCTCTTAGACCCTCAAACCACTTGCAGTTAGGGCAGAACCACAAATGGTTGGGAGGAGTCCCCGAAAGCCCAGTGACTCTCCTCGCCACTACCTCCTTGTCAATGGACCTCAGGCCCTGTCTATTGTGATGGACCCTTGCAAGCAGGCACAGTTAATCTGATGACCATGTGGCTGTGTTGCTTAGAGGAACAAATTCTACAACAGTCATGCAAAGGCTTTCTCTTACTAGAAATTCAAGCCAATTAAACATTTAGCACAGGCCAAAAAAAAAAAAAAAAAAAACCAAGATAAACATGATGCTGTTTTGATGCTTTTGGATATATTCAACAGGATTAGACTGGAGGACTCATGGATGCCCAGCCACCAATAGCATTGCTGATGGTGCAAAAATAGGGAAGAAAGGAAGAGAGAGAGAGAGAGAGAGAGAGAGAGAGAGAGAGAGAGGGAGGAGAGAAGGTGCAAGCAAACAAAAATGCAGAAAGGGGAAAAGAACTGTTCTCTGTGATTTACTATTTCTTTATATCCACCGTAGAAAGCTAGAATTGGGGTATAAGCCTGCAAAATTCTGATCATTAAATAGGTGCAGGTAACTGATATGTTTCCTAGTAAGAAACGTTAACTAAATGCTGCAGCTATGTGTGTGGAGGTCGGGGGGGGGGGGGGGGCTTACCATGGAACAGCCATGGTTCTGCAGCTTTTGTTTTGGCCTTGGGGAAACAGAGCGAACTGGGCACAAGCAGAGCAAGTGCTGGTCACATTTTCATAAGGACAGCGGCACGGGGAGTCTTCTACTCCTTCTCCCAAATGAGTCTAACCCAGATACTGCTGTACCTAGAACCCACACCTGGGTCCTTACTCCCTTGCCTCGGGTGGGAGCAAAGCCATTGGCTGAGGATAACATCTTCTGTGGGCTTGGTACTAATTTATTTATTGCAGAACTGTTTGGTCTGCAAGGGATCGGGGAGACCATAAGTCCAAAAGTCACTCCTCCTGCAAAGGCCTGTGTTAGAGAGGCTTCCTTTCCGGGTAGCAATTCCAATTCTAAGAAGCATTATGTTTACATATTTAGATAGAAGCAAGACATGTTATTTAAAAGTTATGGAGATTTCACATGCCTGAAGCTCAAATAATAAATGACCACAAAGGGAAAAAGATCTTCAGAGCTCAGATTCAAGGTCATTTTCTCCAGAAGATGATTGACTAGGAAAATCACTGAAGCTTAGAATTCCTAACACACACAAGTTCAGTTTCAAAATATCTCCTGTCCAGAGTGCCAGCACAGACTCAGAGTTGCATATAAAGTTGCATATAATATAAAAGTGGGAGGAGGAGGAATGGAGAGATAACTCATTGGTTAAGAGCACTTGACAGCTTTTCCAGAGGTCCTGAGTTCAATTCCCAGCAACCACATGGTGGCTCACACCATCTGTAATGGTCTGATTCCTTCTTCTGGTGTGCATGAAGACTCATATACATAAAATGTATAAATATTTAAAAAAGTGTGTGTGTGGAGAGAGAGAGAGAGAGAGAGAGAGAGAGAGAGAGAGAGAAAGAGAAAGAGAGAGCTTCCGAATTATACTCTCTTACATATGATTCTTACTCTTGATTCCAGGAGCAGATCTGGGTACTGTGAAGACCTGTGAGATGTGTAAACAAGGCCTTCTGATAGACCTAGATGACTTCAACATGACTGAATTCTACCACAAGCACCAGCAATCCCGGGTAAGACATATTGCTGCCACCTTCTCCATGTTCTAGAGCAGGCATATGATCTAAAGAGATGGCTGGATGATTAAAAGCACTTGCTGCTCTTCAAGAGGATCTGGGTTTGATTCCCAGTACCCATATGGCGGTCCACAACTATTTGTAATTTCGGTTCCAGGGGACCCAATGCTCCCTTCTGGCATGTGTTGGCACCAGGCACACACACACACACACACACACACACACACACACACATACACAAAAATTAAATAAACCAATCATTAATAAATTAAAAAAATAGATTAGATGTTTGAGCAGAAAGCAACTTAAGCTCCTTGGTCTAAAGATTGTAAAAAGCCCAAGTGTGATATGGATTTGAGTCTATTTGGCTCACTCCTTTGGCTCACTAAATTGAAATTGGAACACTGGAAAACTGAGAAGTCTCAGCCATCGGGATTGACATCCACATGCTATTAGGGACAAAAAGGAGAGGTTGGGGTAGCCAACTGAACCCTTGCAAACAGCAAGAAAGGATGGGTAAGCCCCATGTCCAAATTTGCTGCAGTAATTTAATAACAACAACAGAAAATAAAGTCAAGATCTTGGGGGAAATGGTCCCCAACTTAAATATAGAGTATTCTGGGTAATGAAGACCTGCTAATAAGCATGAAGTAAATGCTTATGTGTGCATTACAACCCACAGGGAGCTGGGGGGTGGGATAAGTGGAGACAACTCTCCTGGGGCATTCGGATTACATTGCTGAGAATGTGAAAAAGTTAATTAACCTCAGGTGGAAGGTGATTTATGCCCAAGGCAAAGTTAATCACTTAATTCTCAGGCAAACAATCTTCTATTTAGAACTACAGTCTCCAATAGAGAAGCCACAAGCCACCTGTGACTAATGAGAAAGTGGCTAGTTCTAATCAATATATATTGTATATGATAAATACTCACTAAATCAAATGCTTGGTGCCAAAAAAGCAAGTAAAATAATCACATTTTATATTGAATTTGTACTTCTTGTCCTGGCTAGTTTTATGTCAGCTTGACACAAGCTAGAGTCATCTGAAAGGAGGGAATCTCGATTGAGTGAATGCCTCTGTAAGATCCAGCTGTAGGACATTTTCTTAATTTAGTGATTAATAGGGGAGGGCACAGCCCAGGGTGGTGATCCTGAGTTCCAGAAGAAAGCAGCCTGAGCAAGCCATCAGAGCAAGTCAGTGAGCATGTCCCATCCATGGCCTCGGTATTGGCTTCAGCCTCCAGGTTCCTATCCTGTTTGAGTTCCTGTCATGACTTTCTTCAGTGATGAACAGCAAAACGAACATATAAGTCAAATAAACACTTTTCTTCCCAACTTGCTTTTTTGGTCACAGTGTTTCATCACAGTAATAGAAACTATAACTAAGACACTTAATCTATTTGTCAATACTATAGCAAAATGTGTGAGACTGGACAGCTTCATTAAGAAAACAGGCTTTAGAGCTACAGGAGCAGTGGCTGACTACACTGAACACACACAAACACACAAAGAAAGATTACTGTGTAGATCGTGTTCTTAGGTTCAAAGGCTTATATCTGGTGATGATATGCTTGCTGGCAGATTCCTGAAGCAGGGTATGGCATCACATGAAAAGGAGGGGACAGGTAGTGTGCGTGCGTGCGTGTGTGTCTGTCTGTGTGTGTGTCTCTGTGTGTGTCTGTGTGTGTGTGTGTCTGTGTGTGTGTGAGTGTGTTCAGATCTCCCTCCTTCTTGTAAGTCCGCCAGGATGCAATCACGGGTCTTCATCTTGGTGTCCTTATTTAACCCTCTTCCCTCCCAAAGAGCTTTTTTGTGGGTTTTAAAGTTATTGGTGTTTCCACTTAGCATAAAAAACAACTGAAGGCTGGAGAGACGGCTCAAGAGCTAGAGCACTGGCTGATCTTGAAGAGAACCCAGGTTTGGTTCCCAGCACCCAAGAGCAACTCACAACCTTCTGTAACTTCCAGTCCCAGGAGATCTGACCTCCTCTTCCGGTCCCTGCAGATACCAGGCGTGCGTGTGGCACACAGACACTCATACACGTAAAATTAAAAAATTCAAACAGAAGCAATGGGCTTTATTATGGCATTTTCATACTTGTATGACTGCTCTTTGGTCACATTCACACATACTGTTGTAGGAGTCACAGAGGTCTTTGTCCTTGTGATGAGCACTAGGGGAACCTGGAATGTTGGCACACAGGGTTGTTCCCTAAGGGAAGGAATGCAATGCCTGGCTGGGGCAGACATATTTTCTAGCCTGGTGACCTTTATGCTGTCTGTGTGACTAGAGATTTTTTTTTCTGCACCAGACCCTTCCCAGACCCTTATGGGAAGCTTGGTTTTCTTAATCTATAGAGCCCATTTTTATGGACTTTACGAAGAGTTTCGATATAGTCATGGCTGATCTGTATTTAGCTTACTTTGTTCCTCAAGGAGATTTATGTGTACTTTGAGTCATACTGGACTGAGTTAATCATCACCAGAAAATGTTTCACCAACATGTGCTGTGATTAAATATGCCTACAAAATAAACTACTGGGGGTCAGACTCCAGAAGTTTGAAACAATACCAACTACTGAGTTGTCGTGAACCAAACTGCCTTCTTGTCCTCCTAGGCGAGTCGCTGTGCTGGCCATGGAAGTAGTAGAGACTCCTGTGTACCCTGACCCATCCTTTCTCCCTCGCCTCTTGCTCATGCTGTGGCCCGCTCCCCAGATAAGGCTTCCACCTTCTTACTTCATGGTGGGTGTGCTAATCAGGTTTCATCCCTATAATGAAATACCTGGAGCTTTGCTTTGGCTCCTGGCTCTGGAGGTTGAGGTCTAAGGTTGAGCAAGTCCCATTACTTTTGGGTGAAAGCAGCATTCTGCAAAAGTGTGAGAGAGCAAACTGCTCTCTTTGGAGCCCAGAAGCAGAGGAAGAAAGAAGGCAGCTCTGGAACTCGGTATTCTCCTTCAAGAGCTTGAACAGAGTGGCCTGAGGACCTCCTGAAGGCTTCACCTCCCAACAGTGTGACCCTGGGGACCAGCGCTCTAACACCTATGCCACAACAAGGGAGATTTGGTCTCACAGAAGAGCCCTTGGGGCAGAGGACCCAGGCTCGGTTCCCAGCACCCACACGACTGCTCCCAGTTTTCTGCAACTCTGGCTCCAGGGGATCAGACTCACTCTTCAGGCTACCATGGGCACTTCATGTATGTACTATACATATATACATGTAGGCAAAACACTCATACACATAAACCTATCTTTAAAATTTTTTAAAGCAGAGGCTGGAGAGATGGCTCATTGGTCAAGAGCACTGGCTGCTCTTCCAGAGGATCTGGGTTCAATTCCCAGCAGCAACATGGCAGTTTACCACTGTCTGTAACTCCAGCTCCAGGAGATCCAACACTCTCACACCAGACATATATGCAGGCAAAATACCAATGCACATTGTTGTGGTTTGAAAGAAAATGGCCCACAGAAGTGGCACTATTAGGAGATGTGGCCTTGTTGGAGTAAGTATGGCCTTGTTGGAGGAAGTGTCACTGTGAAGGTGGGCTTTGAGATCTCAATATGCTCAAGCCACACCCAGTGTCTCAGACCACTTCCTGTTGCCAGTGAGTCAAGATGTGGGACTCTCAGCTCCAGCACCATGTCTGCCTGTACAGTGCCATGTCCCACCATGATGATAATGGATTAGAATTCTGAAATTATAAGCCACCCTGTTACGATAAATCTTTCCGCCAAAAGTCGTTGAGCCCCACCGCCACCTGTGCGCTTTACGCCAGCCGCCCGCCTGAGTTAGGGCCCTAATTAATGCACAGAGAGACTTGTATTAGGTACAAATGCTGCTTGGCCAATGACTAGGATTCTCATCTGTTATCTCAGTCTTAATTATCATAAATCTATATATTTTATAAGACTTATCTTAAAGAGGATGCATTCTGCTGACACCCTCTCTTGCTGGTGGATCACATTGCACTGCTGGAGGAAGAGCAGAGGGGAAAAGGGACACTTCCTGTTTCTCCTTGCTTAAATATGAGCCTCCTTGCTATGTCACTTCCTACCTGTATCACCACTTCTCTACTACATTTCCCAGAATCCTCTTTGACTCTTAGTCCTGTCTAACTTGCGGTCTCATTGGCCAAACAGTATTTTAGTTATCATCCAGTAAGACAAACACATACACAGAAGCACTTCCCCCATCATCTCCTCTTGTCTGTCTAAATAAAAAGGATAATTTATCTTTTATAATAACTGAAGAAAACTATAACCATAACTATCTGTCTTCAACTCTGTCAAAGACCACAGAAGGATAATATACTCTAGAATTGACAGACACATCTCGTTACCTGGACAGTCACTCAAGTTCCTCTGTAACGTTAGGGCATCCATCTTCAGCCCATAGGCCACAGTGTGTCTGGCACACTTCTCCATAGGAACCCTTTAGTACTGTCTTGTTTTGTAAGTTCAGCAGTCATTTTCTTGTGGGTCCTGCACGTCT